TCATCAACATCATCATGCTTTTCAACCAAGTTTGCTTGACCCTTCTTCTTGTCTTTCTTCGGAGCACGACACTCTGTAGATTTGTGTCCAGCTTTTCCACAGTTGTAGCAATTTCCACTGAACCGCTTCTTGCTTGGGTTGTATTTCGGTCCAGAAGCCTTCTTCCTCTTTTTGTTCTCTTCAACAATATTTGCTCCCATTATTGTTGAGTTTCCAGGGCCTCTCTTGTCAGCAGCTTTATTGTCCTCTTCGATTCTCAACCGAACAATGAGATCTTCAAGGGACATCTCATTGCATTTGTGTTTCAAATAATTTTTGAAGTCCTTCCACAATGGAGGCAACTTCTCAATCATCGCTGCTCCTTGGAATGCTTCATTGATGACAAGACCTTCAATGAAAATTCTGTTAGTAAACATAATAAAATTAATACTACCAACACTAGTATTAATTCTACTTATACCTTCAGCAAGGAGATCGTGAATAATCACTTGCAATTCCTGGACTTGGGTAATAACAGACTTGCTATCTACCATTTTGTAGTCCAAAAACTTTGCAGCAACGAACTTCTTCAACCCGGCATCTTCAGTTTTATATTTCTTTTCAAGCGTAATCCATAGTTCTTTTGACGTTTTCACGCCACTGTAGACGTTATACAAAGCATCCTCCAGGCCGCTTAGAATATAATTCTTGCACAAAAAATCTGAATGCGTCCACGCCTCAATCACGAGAAAGCGTTCAGTCTCTGGAGTTTCATCGGACAGCACAGGAACATCTTCCTTGATGAACTTCTGGAGACTTAGAGTAGTCAAGTAGAAGAACGTCTTTTGCTGCCAGCGCTTGAAATCAATCCCGGAAAATTTTCCGGGTTTCTCCGCTGGTGCCAATGCTGCCGGTGTTGTTCGGCTCGTTGAGGCATTGGCAGTCACCATTGGAACAGTTTGGTTCACATTATCATTAGTCATTTCTGTAAAAGAATGACATAAACGTTAATATCACGTAGATTTTAATCTCCAATATAGTACAAAACCACAAAGGTTTTACTCTCCAGGAACAGTGAGTACAAATACAGAAAATATATTAAATTCCTTAAGCTTGTTAGTAAACTGTATTTGTAAAATAATTCTGAAAATATAAATGAACATAAACAGAAATGAAAAACAGAAACAAAATGTTAATCCGAGCCCACTGAATTCACAGTGTTTCCTTAAGGAATTTAATCCCCTCCTAGTACCCAAGGTTGTGGATTATTTCCTCCCAGGATAGAACGAATTACACATTGGTGTAGTGGTACTTCAAACCCCAGTGTTTCAGCGAACACAAAGTTGGGTAGCAAATCACACTTACTGTTGCTTTGTTTGATGTTAAAAGTATGCAGAAGAAGGAGGAGAAACTCAGAAAATTGTATGGAAATTCTGAGCAGAATAGTCTTGTATTTATAGCCAAAGTTGGGCTGAAATCTGAAGAGGTGCAACCCTTCAGAATGGCTGTTTATGCAAAACGGCCACAGCATAAATGCCATAACATAAATGGCTATTTACTCAACAATAAAGAGGAAAAATTGAAGAGCGTAGTTTAATTTTCAGTTACACAACTGAAAAACGGATTAGATTTAATATTAATATTCTGTTATTAAAATAAATATATAATAACATTTCTGTTAATATTTTACTATTAACAAATAAATTTGGTCCAAAAAATTAATCAATCAATCATTGACCGAAGCCGAAGCCAAGCCGAAGCCGAGCGAGCGACGATGGCGCGAGGCTTGCCTTCTTCTCAACTCTTTAAGAGCTAGAAGAAGAGCAATTGCTTATATACCCATAAAAACCCCCTTCCTCTTCCAATATGGGACAATGTCCCTTTGCCAAGGGGAGAAACTTAAAATTACACTTAAAATTTTTATTTCCTTCCATTTCCCATTCACCCTATTTTAAGCATACATATACTTAAAATCCCAACAATTACTCTCAAAATAACCGGCTGAGTCGTTACACAAAAGATGGGGCGAAATGCCACGAACCAATTGAAGAGGAGTGGAAATTCCTGTGATCTATGATTGTGCACGCTCTAGAACAATGATAGTGGAACCCCGTATAAAGAATGAGATTTTTGATCTCCATTTAAGGCTTGATCAATTCTTCACTTTTCAAACTAGCTTTTGGAGTATGAGTTAGGCCTAGACTTATATAACAAATTTCACCGAAGTTTTCTGTCATCGACCAAAATAAGAGTGTAGTGTATGTGAAATCTTTTTCTCTTTTATTCTTAAAAACAAAAGTATTTCTTGTTATCAAACTAGACCTAATTGAATCACGTGTCATGTTGTGATAGGCCAAACAATCATCATGCAGATATATTAAATGGGATCCATTTTTCCTGTACAATTCCATACGTCCATCACTTTTTAGTGGAACTTGTGCAATTTTTCTTCATTTATGTCAAAATTGCACTACTATGCCATGAAGTGCGTCACTTGGTATGCTTGGGATTCTTTACATTTCTATAGTGGTATATGTTTTTTAAGTCATTCATTTTCTAAGACAGTTCCATCTTGTGCTACTTGCCTATATAAGAAGCAATAGAATGTTTCCATTATCTCTCCAACTAGACTTGGATTGACCAAACTGTCTAGTTCTTGAAACTACATTCTCTTTCTTAATCGACCTTCTTGGTTAGTACTCTCTAAGCTCCATTTTTTTCCATGGGTTTGTGGTACTTGTTCAATAAAAGGAGTCTTGGTGCAGCTGTCCTTATACTTGTTGGGTTGTTAATGTGCAATATCCAGATTACATGTCTCTCGTCTCTACACACACCTGTACATCTTACATCACATCTTATATAAATTAGCATGTATACTTTCTACCAATTTTAAGTTTTTTAATGGCCAGAACCATAATACATTGCTATGTTTCTAATAGTTGATTGTGACCCTATATTGACAAAATTTACTATTAGGATTTTATTTATATTCACAGATAGTATAATGAAATTTTACACTATTTGTGCAATTTAACATGTTACCTTAGAAGGTTTATTTTCATTATTTTTCAAGTTACTAGTTTAACTTATTACAAAAGGGCAGTCAGCACTTATTATGAATATATCGTACATGTTGATATATGGCTAGTGATAAAAAAGATACATCGTTGATGTACAAAAGTTAAACTCTTACTTTTATGTGCGTATTTAATGTTATGTTGAAACAAATTTCCTTTTACTTTTGCCTCAAGGAAAATGACACATTATAGTATAAATAATAGCCGAAAATATTTATAAAATCTATATATTTTTTGTAATATATACATTCTGTATGTTATATATAAAAATTATACAAATTTTATACGCTTTTTCGACTATCAGATGTAAATAGTTTCTAGCGCGAGCTAAAAGTGATAATACTCCTTCCCTCAATGCAGGGGCACAGTCTAATATTGGAGTATGCTATGGGAAAATTGCCAACAATTTACCATCAGAACAAGATGTCATAAACCTATACAAGGCTAATGGCATTAGAAAGATGAGAATCTACTATCCAGATAAAAACATCTTCAAAGCTCTCAATGGAAGTAACATTGAGATCATTCTTGATGTCCCAAATCAAGATCTTGAAGCCCTAGCCAATACTTCAATAGCCAATGGTTGGGTTCAAGATAACATAAGAAGTCATTTCCCATATGTTAAATTCAAGTACATATCTATAGGAAATGAAGTATCTCCCACAAATAATGGTCACTATTCACAATTTCTTCTTCATGCAATGAAAAATGTGTACAATGCATTAGCAGCATCAGGGTTGCAAGAAAAGATCAAGGTCTCAACTGCAACATATTCAGGGCTCTTAGCGAATACCTACCCACCCAAAAATAGTATTTTTCGCGAAGAATTCAAGAGTTTCATTAATCCCATAATCGAATTCCTAGCACGAAATAACCTTCCACTCTTAGCCAATATTTACCCTTATTTCGGCCACATTTATAACACGGTCGATGTCCCACTTTCTTACGCACTTTTCAACCAACAAGGAACAAATTCCACAGGATATCAAAATCTTTTTGATGCCCTTTTGGATTCTATATATTTTGCTGTAGAGAAAGCTGGAGGACCAAATGTGGAGATTATTGTATCTGAAAGTGGCTGGCCTTCTAAAGGACACTCAGCAGCAACTATAGAAAATGCTCAGACTTATTATAGAAATTTGGTTAATCATGTTAAAGGAGGGGCAGGAACTCTAAAGAAACCTGGAAGGATCATAGAGACTTATTTGTTTGCTATGTTTGATGAAAATGAAAAGCAAGGAGAAATCACAGAGAAACATTTTGGACTCTTTTATCCTAATCGGACCGCAAAATATCAACTCAACTTTATGTATAGCGATAGATAATTAATAAGGTGAAATCTATACTTTTCCCCTCATTATCTGCAGATGTTTCTATGGTTTTCTATAATATATTTGTCAATGGCACTTTGGAGCTTGTTTTTCTCAATTCTTAGAATTATTAATCAATAAAAGTCTTATGGTCGATGGACTGATTATTAGCTTAGTAGTTATCATATCATTATATCGGTATCATACTATATTATTATAAGTGGGATCATCCTAAAAAGTCAATTTACAAATTTACCCATCAAAGAGTGAGTGGCAATTTCGACCTTCAACCAAACATTACTTCAATAATATTTTTGTATAAAGATGTAAACACACATTCTAATAAAATTGAAAAGGTATTTTTCCCTTACTTAAACACTATCATTACCTTTCAATTATTTATTGCAAATGTGTAATTTATGTCAGCCAAATGATAAAGTTGTACTTCGGTGAATCATTATTAGTTCCTATATTTTCGTTTCTATCAAAACATGAAAGAACATGAGGAGTTGGTATTCTGAAAGGTTATTAGAACAAAGAAGAATCGCATAGGACTCTTAGATTTTGTTCATGTGACTCTCTTGAGTCTGAGGTGATATGGGATACACGCGAAATGCACATGCACAAAAACTAGTACAGTAATACTTAATTCATCAAAACTACAACAATTCAAACTCATACCAGTGGCCTGAAGTTGAGCTATAACAGTTGGAATTAGGAATTGATTTTTCCAAGTCTTGAGTATTACACTATTAGTTATACATCTGATGCTTATCAAAGACACTCTGGATAACTGCAAACGTAAAGCTCTCATCCAACAAACTGAGCATATATATATTTATGTTAAGCAAATGTAGAGGTTAGACACTGCTTGAGAGAAGCCAACTAAGTGGCGGATGGCCTAGCAAAACATGCAAATACTATACGGGAGGCAAGGATTCTTTTTGCATTTCAAGATCTTGCCGGAGATGCTAAGTATCTTTTAGATAAATAGCAACTACCTAGTATGAGAATAGTATATGATAAGGTAAATTTCTTTGTTAGTTAAGTGTTCCTTATTTAATGAAATGTAGCAAAATAGAGTCCAAACTCTTTTGTTTTGTTTCACATTCACGTGTTTGGTGCCCACAATGGGGCCTCGACTAATCTGAATTCGAGCAATCAAAAACTCATTACATTATTTTAGCAAATCATATTTACATGGGCGATGGAGCAAAAAATAGAAAATGGAGAACAAAAACAAAAAGGAAGTCTAAATGCTTCCCTTTTTCACAAAAATAATAAAATAAAATAAAATAAAAATTACGCCCATATGGCCATGACAGACATACCGCCAGCACCTAGTAGAACAGCAACATAAGCCCATGATTGAAGTTTCATACTATTCTGCAATTTAGTCCCCAAGAAATCAGCTGCAAGAAGATCTACTAATGCCATGTAATTCAATAAACCAGCTGAACATGCATTTAGCAATCCCACCACTATTAGTGCTGTTGGACTATTTTCATTATACACTTTTGATAATCCTATTCCAAGTGCTATCCCAAATGGTGTTGTTAATGAGAAAAAGAACACCATTATACCTTTCATCTTCATACCATATTCGGCCTATACACGAAAAAAATAAAAAAATTAAGTTAGATTTATGTTGCAGACTTTTTTATTCCTCATATTGATCGATGCAATAATGAAATTTTGTTTATAAATTTACCTGAAGAATGCAGCCTCCTAGACCCATTCCTTCAAAAAGTTGATGGAAACATATAGCAGCTACTAGTGGCCTAATTGTACATGGATTATCAGATGCTCCCATGGATAATCCTATCACTACTGAGTGCACAACAATTCCTAGCTCCAAAACCTGCATTTCCATATGACATTCAACTAAGGTGAATAAAAAATATAAATTAAGAATATTATACATATTGACGTATAAGTTTTTTAAATACGACAGATTATTAATAATTGTTGATATACAATATGATGGCCAATATTAGAACTACAATAATACGGTTGGGCAGTGCAGTGCACAAAGCATCCCCATTCACTCTGGGTTCAGAGAAGGGCATATCGCAAGAGGTATGATGTAGACAATCTACCCTAATACGAGCATTAGCGGCGGCTTCCACGGCTCGAACTAGTGATCTACTCGGAGATAACTTTACCCTTACTCCAATAACACGGAATATAAGACAATTCCAATCGAAGTGAGAATTGTACCTGAGCCACCACGCGATACCTAAGCAATTGAGTAGCTTTATCATCAACTTTGGCTTCACCATGAATGTGGCTATTATTGTCAATAATTTGTGACTCCATCTTCCCATTATGAACAAAATCTCTTCCATTTTCCAATTTATACTTCTTGAAGTAACTCATGGCATATGAATCCACGCTAAGAGTAAGAATAGCCGAAAGCATAGCAACAAACGTCGTGAACGGAAATTTTTTCCAGGGATTATCCGGCAAGCAGTCTGACCTAAGACAATCGAACGAGTCAGGCATAACGTGCATGTATCCAGTGGCTAGTATAACCCCGGAAGCAAACGCCTTAACCAACACGAATAAATTCTTATCGGGTTGAAGGGCAGGAACTGTACGAGAAACAAGGGGTAAACAAACACCAATCATGCTAGTTACAAGAATTGAAGCAATGGCTACAAGTTTTAGCTTTAATGCCTCATTCTTGTTTCTACATCCATGTCCAGTATCTGAACCGCATTTTGATTGAGTTGTATCATTATTTTTAGATTGACATGTGATTTTTGATGGAAAAGAAAGGAAAATAAAAATGAGAAAAATAGCAATATATTTAGAAGAAATGGCCATTTTGGAGATCAATAGAATGATTTGCAAAGAGACGTGACACGACTTGATGGAATTTTCGGATAGAATCTGTTGATCTTATAAGAATTTGAAGTCAACGCGAATTGATCAAATGACACTTTTACCCTTAATTTTAATCCAAGTTTAAGGTTGTTAAATTGGAGTTGAGCGTATAATTCTTCAGTATTATGAGGGTAAAGTAAGAAATATGTACGAGGAATGTTTGCTTGTGACAAGCGTGCGCTATGCGTGTGTCGTCATCATTTTGACTACGTAGTGTATAGTAAAGTCACCATCAAACTTCACTTTAACGTACGCCTATGATGACTTGTCATCCTAGGTGGCATTAGTCTGGGCCCACGTCATTTATTTTGAAACTATTCCCTTAAAACCAAATATAATTTGATTTATCAAAATTAATAATATACCACGAGTGCGAGAAGTAATTTCAACAACCCTATTAATTTGACACTCTAAGACTATCTTACATTTTAAATTTTCGGTACTAATTTATCAACAGAATTAGTTCGGGTATGTATATGCTTATTCAAGCTATTCAACTAAAATCTATATTTTCAAAAATCTTATTTAAGATGGCAACGAATTTAAGTATGCATTTCATCTATATAATTAAGGTATGTAGAGAGCTGACATAAAAAGAGGAAGAAAAAGAAAGCATAGAAATCGCAAGAGAAGTGCCAATAATATCTTTGTCCATTGTCTTTTGGTAATCAATATATAGGAACAGGGTATAGAAAAGTTGAATGTTTTCTAATCTAATAAAATTATTTCGATATAAGTGCACTGTTAAACATTGACTATAATTATCAAAAAAGAAAATTAAAGAAGTGGAAATGAAATACAACAAGAGATGCTTCATTAAATGCATAATTTTTTTTCTTGCATTAAAGTTATAGTTCTAACTGCTATTTGTTTGTTTAGGTTAAAATTGAAATAGTAAAATAATAGAAGTAGAAACACTCAATGAGTCATGAACAAAAACCTTTTTAAGTAAATGGACTTGGAAAAACACAAGCGCTCCTCTCTCTCTCTCTCTCTATATATATATATATATATATATATATATATATATATATATAATAAGTACTCCCCCCGTTCACTTTATACTTGGCATTTATAATAAAAATAGATTTTCATTTTTACTTGTCACTTTATGCATATCAAGAGAAGATAAATTTTTTTTCCTGTTATACCCACAGTATTTATTACTCATTTCAAATCATTTTCTCAAATCCAATAAAATATGCATCAATTAATATGGGTATCATGGTAAATTATGCACATCATTTGTTATTTCTTAAGGAACGTGAAAAGTCAAAACGTGCCAAATAAAAGTGAACGGAGGGAATGACTAGTACGTAATTAATGTGACGCATTAAGTTGGAGATCTTCTCACGCTACTTTAAATACAGAATAAGTAATAACAAGAACGTAATTAATACGACGTATAAGTTGGAGATCTTCTCATGCTTCTTTCTGTAATCTTATTACGTTAATAAGCTTAAATACACAGATGAACCCAAGAGTTAATGTAGCCAATTATTTATATACTTTACTCACCTTAAAAAATTCTTGCAATTTACTACTGAACAAAGAGGCAGCTAATATGAGGTTGACAAAGTTGGGATTAGCTATTTTTATGATGTTGAATGATGGTGTTAGCTGCACTGGGATTTTCTGATGTTCAAAGTTGTGCAAGCGCTTGTTTTATAAAGTGTGGCAATAATCTTCAATGTTACAATGCATGTCTACATCGTTGTATTCAACCTCGTGGTACGTATCGTGTTCATAACTGTGAGCGTGATTGTCCATGTAACGACCCGGCCGGTCGTTTTGAGAATTTAACTTCCGATCAGCGGCATAAGATCTTGAGAAGCTTCATATTATGTGTATTGATCACGCCCAACTCTAGTCCTAAAAAGGATAAGCGGTTGCTGCAAATATAATTCGGTCTAAAAGTCCGGAGTCGAATCCCACAAAGAACTAAGGCTTAGCTGTATCTGTTTAATATCACCAAGAAGACAAGATTGAAAATAAATAAACAGCTGAAAACTAACTATGCTTGAATTGTAAACAATTGGAATAAAGGTCTAAGGTAATGGTTTCCCCCGTTGTTGATTTCCTTGGTTGTATGTTTCTTATAGCGTTGACTTAGTTGCCTCTATCAATCATGAACTCTTCAGCTATCATAAATCTCTCTCAAGCAATTATGATAATTTACTAGACGCACTCTCTCAAGCTACGCTAGCTAGATTCGCATTACAGTTCACTTAGATCGCACCCGAGGTATCGTTATCTCTAATCCAACCTCTAAACCCTCGGTTATGA